GGCTCCGTCGATAAAGAGTTTATGGATTTGAAATTTGGACTTGTTAGTTATATTTTAATTCGGTGACTAGTCTTTGACACTTTTTAGATTTTAATTTATGAACCTTATGTTTTATATTTACTATTTAGTTACAACTCATGAGTTATGGAGACTTGAAAAGGTTACTTAATTTCATGTTATTGCTTCTTGTTTTATGGTAGTTTAATTTGGCACTCTTGCACTCTTACACTTTTATGGTAATTTAACAAAGAACTCAAGTATAAATTCAAGAACTCAATCAAGAAGTCAAGAACTCATGAACTCAAGAACTCAACCATGGGCTATTACTTCATTGGAAATTGTTGTCCTAAGGTGAGTCTCTTTTCATATCTAAATTGTATAAGTTGGGTTAGAATACTATTTTGTCTTATTTTCATATTATGTATTTATGAACCTCATGTAAAGAATATAAAAAGAAAAGCTGAGAGAAAATAAAGCTTCCAATAAGAAGAATAAGAGAGCAGATTCATGCGACACTTATTTGAATTTCAGGTCATCAAATGAAGGTGCACAATACTTCTTTTGAAATAATCCAGCTTTTAAAAAGAAGGGAATATCACTCTATTTCACTTGGAATTAGGAAACATATTTGTATTTTTTTCTTTTTTCTTTTTTTGCAATTTTCTATGGAATACAAGTTACAGGTTTAACATCTGCAAAAAAAAAAAAGTGAAAAACCATAACTAATTCAGCCATTCCACATATCTAAGGTTCTTTTTCATCCCACTAAAGCAGTTCAAAAAAATCTACCAAAAAGCCAAATTCACAAAAGTTTCTAATTTTGAGACTCCCATGTAGTCTTTTTGTGTCCAAAACCACATCCCCCCTTATCTACACCTACCTCCATCCCCTCAAACCTAAAACCTTGGACCTAATCCCTTACTATCATCACTTATTTTATCAATTTCCCTCAAATTTATCATCGGTCAGCTTTGGATCACAGCAGTCCAACACTAGATATGTTCTAGAATTTAAGGTATTGATATAATCTCATAAATAAGTTAATATAAGCTACAATGATGAAAGAAAAAGAAATGAGATTGAACATTTAGTTTAGTCTCTAAAAGAGTTTCCAAAGAATGATATCAGCTTTGATTGTTTGATCAGTTTGATGTACCTTTGTATGTGACAACTCCCATTGATTGGAATAAAACTTAAACCGCCTGATTCTTGAAAAGAAGTACAAAACATAGCATATTCTAGTATCGAGATAAGTAAGAATCATGTAGAAGTGAAATAGAAACCTTTTCCACTAATGTCAACTCAAGGGACAGATTTTGAGCTACAACTCGCATGAGGATATCTTTTGAACTCGTATGACTGAATTTTTCCCCATACAAATTAGAGAAAAATATCTGTATTTTTTTGTAATTTTCTATAGTTTTTGGAATTTTTCTATATTTTTTTGTATTTTTGTATTTTATTATTTTTATTTTTTATATGGTGTTCTTTTTCCTATATTTTTTCTATGTATTTTCTGTATTTTATTTAATTTTTATGGCATTTTTATTATATATAAATATTTTTTGTTTTTAATTTATTTATGACATCACGGGTCGAATGGTTTGACCTGAACGGTTGAACCACGGAACCGGAAAACGGTGCCAAGAACGGTTCCATTTCTAGGTTGGTTTTTAAAACATTGATCCAGGTAAGTGTATTTACCTATGTTCTTTTATTTTTCAAGTAAATAAGGTAATGACCATTTTAGCCATAAAAATCCATTATTAAAATAGGTATTTTAGTTCCATTCAATTGTTAGCTAGCAACTTTCTTCCTAGGTGAAAAAGTTATTTACCCATCTAAGAGATGGGTATACATAGAAAAATAAACTTTCCTAACCCCCACATTAATTTAAAAAAAAAAAAAGAATATAAATTTCTTAATCTATAAGAATCAAAATTTCATTTACCAACTTTTCCCTTTCAAAATCCAAAACAAAAACACCCCGATAATATTTAAAACTGACAGAAAAGAGGGGGGAAAACCACTCATACTTCGTCCATTGCCACCAAGAATTTTCGGAGCTTAACTGCAGACTGCAGCACATCAATCAACAAATGAGTATTTCAGAGGCCCATCCTGTAGGAAATTGGAATATATAGTCGTAGATTTGTAATCTATCCAAGAAGGACGCATCGATGGATCAATAAGTTGCCTTTCTCTCCCCTACTAAACTGTCGTCGAGAGGGTGGACACAGACAGCACACAGGCTTCCAATTACCATTTACCACTAAATTGCCTGTTTATATGAGACCCATTACCTGATTTTCCTCCCCTTCCCATGTCTTCGCCCTTCTACTAAATTCTAATATCCTGTAACCACATCTGTAGACATTTTCCGTAACCACTCACAAACCAACAACGCTCGGAGAAAACGTATGATATGGTGCAAATCTCGTGTAATACATAAAAAGCAGAAATTTACATATAGGTCTTCTATACTTTTGAGGTATTTGACATTTGAATTTTTTTTAAGGCTTAAAACATATTTCATTCATTCAATAAAATACATAGACTTTCCAAAAAGATCAATCAAAACCCAAATACAATTTCTCATGAAGAACAAAATATAAAAATGGATGTAAGAGAACAAAAGAATTTCTGCAATCAAACAAAGGTGAAAAATCATCAACAAAAGTAGAAAAGCACAACTCTAATCCACCATAAACGGTTAGAGAAAAGACATGAGAGGTTCCCAAAAGAGATTGTAAATAGCCGATATAGCATGGTTGGGGTAGATTCACAAAAGATGACAGAGCCCCAAACATTACAACCGATACCAGATACTGTAGCTGCCTTCCATAATGGCACTCATCGGAGAATTATGAATGGAACTGATCATGAATTGTTTCCGCTAGAGAACCGCAATCGGACTTAACCATGGACGGCAAAACAAAAAGCAACACCCACTGGTATCGAAAGCGCAAACATTACAACCGATACCAGATACTGTAACTGCCTTTGGCATTTGAATTTTAAGTGCAATATTTTGAACTTTTATAAGTATCAATTAATCCTAATTCCATAATTTGGCATTATAATGTTTGCGATTCACGTGTGAATAATAATATAAAGAGTCCCACATTGGAAGGAAGACAGTTGCAAATGATAGAATACAAGTACATGTATATGTACGAGTCCCTTGATTTTGATGACTCCTCTCAATGCACAACATAATGAGTTAAAATCATTAAAATGCCCATATTCAGATTTTTCCTTTCTAGTGTTCCTCTTCAACTACTTTTACATGCAATCCAATAACACAAAGAAACACCCATTCATACAATAACAAAGCAATTAAAGCCTGCACCTAAATAAAAGCATCCAAAAACAAGCAAGAACATTTGAGTTCACTAGTGAAGCCTCCAAACGACAGGATGGATGAATACTAAGCAATACTTACATGTTGGTATTTGTATCCATACAAATGTACCAAGCACCAAATTTTTTATGCCACCACTGTTTAGGGATGCAATGGGATGAATTTAAGGAGGGTTTTATAATTCTAGACCCTACCCATCCCCTAGACCTCCCAACCCGCACCCTCCCCAAAACCCATAATGGGTTGGATTTTCATAATCCAACAAATGAAAATGCAAAACCACCTCAACCCTACCCTCTCTTTATATAATTTCCTATTATTTCCTGTTTTATGTCAACTAACATATAAAAAACACAAAAATTATCAATTATCCTTCACAAAAAAAAAATCAAAATATTATTACATTCAACACCTAGTATACAAATTCATATGCCTTCCAACAATATATAAGTCGGGAAGGGCATGGTTTTCAAACCGTTGTTGACCGAATGACCGGACCGTTCAGCCCAAAAATCATCCAGGCAACAAATTCTGTTTCACCCCAAACCTGGTCTTATGCAAAAAGATATTGACTTCATCAATAACCCATTAACCCGAGCAAGGAGCAACCGAACCACCAACCCCTTTGAAATGTTTTTGCACTTTTTTGTTTCAATTTTTTTATTTTTTTAAATTGTGACAGGCCATCCATTTGGACCAAATGGTCAAAACATTGACCCAAAAACCAGTGGTCAAAGAGGTTCCAATTCTGAGTTGGATTTTAAAACATTGGGGAGGGTTGGGTTTAGCCTAATACTAATGTCCTACCCATACCCGTATACCCATATGGATTGTGAAATCCGATAACTCTCCCACTTCAAAATCCTTTTTTTTTAGGGAAAAAGACCTCCCCATTGGGGCAAGTAGAGACAGATGCCCACCAGGTGGGTAAAAATTACCATTTTGTACCCAAAAGTAAAAGAATGAAAAAGAGAATCTAAACATTAGCATTTTATAATTTTATTCTTATCTTAATGTTGGTTTTAACGAATTTGGACCTCAAGTGTCCGAAAGAATAGTGTCAAGTTAAAAGTCTAGGCCCTCAAGTTTCCCTTCCCCCAAATTACACATCCCCATGTATAATTTACTCATGAAACCGACTATCATCTAAACCAAAATTATTGACTTTTTTCAGCTCTAGCAAGTACTAACACGCATATCTTACACTATATCGTGTATATATATATATAGAACCCCACCATCATTTGCAACAAAACCATTGATTTTTTCACAGCTCTTGTAAGTAATAACACGCATATCTTATACGTTTATTATCTCAGTCGGCTCTACTCCCGCCTAACACCAAGCCCTAAGCTAAGTATATCGTTGGTCTATCATTCATTGACGGTTACAGGCTTCTACCGTGTATATAGTCTTTTCTCCGGTCACCTAAGATTCTTGCATTCAACCTTGCAGCTCATCAAATAACAAGTATAGTCTCTTAAGATCCCCCACTATGCCAGACTTTCTGAATCTGTTTTCCTTCTCGGAACAGGAATTCTATCTATATTCTTTATGATCTGATGGGTAATAGGATTCCCATCACTTGTTGGGGCATGGGGGAAGAAAAATGATGAAGCAACTACGACCACAGATATAGCATCAGAAACCGGAATCTTACCCAAGGTAGCATAGTGAAATAAATTTTCTATAACAATAATCTGTAAAATTGAAAAGTTGAATTCGAAACCTTCTTTTCCTTGCTGAAGGGCCAGACCAATATCCCCTACTAAAACTTTCTAAATGCCCAGTGCCATAAAGTTAGACTTGATAGTAACCATCAATGATGGATTTTTTTTTTTGTTTTGCCTTTAAGCAAAACCAATGGACCCATTTCTCAGATGCCTTATTAGTAACCATTGATTTGACGCCTTGGTGTTGGACCCGAATAAAACTCACGGGTATCTGTCAGACGCGAAAAAGGCACCTGGTTCCGGCCAGGCAGGCCTCTCTGGCCAGAGAAGCGATCAGCTGCCTTTGGATCAGATATTGACCTTGAGAATGCTTGAGCAAGTTCCAAGGCTGTTGCTGCTTTCCCATAACGCAGACCAGGAGCATCAGGAGATGCTTTTGCCTGCTCAGCAGGCTTACGCCAGGTCTCAGGCTCAGGACGTCGTTCTTGTTGCTGCTTATCAGTCTCCCTACCATTCCTCTTATTCTCATTCCGCCATGAACTCCTCTGCATTTCTACTCTCTCAGGATCCCTTGTGACCCTTTGATCAGGACCAAAATTATCTGCCCTCTCACCATATCGGGCAAGTGGACCCACAGGCTCAGACTTTGTTTCAGTCTTGGGGAATTCATGTTTAATCCTGTGCATAAAAATGCGTTATGGTTAATGTATGCCTATAAAAAATTGTATTCTAATAATATCCAGGGTCGTGAATTCAAGCAATCCTACCAATGGACAATTGAAAAAGGCCTGTACCTGTTGGGCTGTTGATTTATGTCAAGGTTGTTGATGGAAACATCATCAATACCCCGCTCCTTCAAAACCTGAGAATATGCAGAACATCAAGCTAACATCATAAGACAATGTTTAGGTAAAAACACCAAAAATAGAAAAGCAAGAAGCACTCTAGTTCTAGACCGTAAATAAAGAAGCCTGCCTTGTTTGTTCTTAAACACAAAAAATAGAAGCAAGATGCGCTCTAGTTCTAGACTAGTAAATAATGAAGCCTGCCTTGTTTGTTTATTAAGCTATCAGCTAAAACTGAGAATTCCTCATAACTACCACAGCAACAAGAGATTAGCAAAAACGCTATTATTTACCATAGAAGCAATTATACCATGGGAAACTTTTATGAACTCTCCAAATAAATTAACCAGACAACCACTCTATACAAAAACTTGAGGAAACCACCTACCAGCTCTCGAGGGCGTGCACCACCAAATAACATCTGCCTGCATCAACAACGGGAAAAGAGTTAGCTCATAGTTGCAGAGTAAAAGAATAACATAATCAGATAAAGAACCTGTAACCAATCTGATGAGTTTTGAATGCCATATGAATACAAAGAAATCTAAATCAAATGAATAAATAATATACTGTTACATCCTTTTTATTAGTATATACTATATTTTAGAGTTCTGAGAAATTCCAACACTTGTGACTTAAGGCATCTTTCTTTTCCCACCTGATAGGAAGCCAGAGGCCCAGAGCACCCTAAATCAAATGACTTAATGTGATCTACCATTTTTGGAGCCAAATCCAGCCCTTGGTGTAATGGTCTTTATCTAACAATTTGGAGTTAGGAAGAATTAAGAATGCTAAATCTTACAACTTTATATTAAGTTAAATCCCAACCTTACCTGTTACACCTATCGTACATCATTCAGTAAGTCAAATACTCCATATTATTAGACAGAGAACAAGTTCATAAAGATGTCACACGCAATCTAGCTTGGGTGCATCCAAAGAATGTCCTCATTTGTTCTGCTTTCTTTTATCATGTTATGATTTCCAACTATCAAGTATGAACCCGAATAAGAGCCAGAAGATACCGAAGATAAAGATATTCTACCACAGTTATTGGTACTAGGACACTTCAGAAATACCAGATGTTTCCAAAATCTATGTTCACACAAACAAAATATCTAAAAAAAGACCATGTTTTAAATTCCATTTAGACCAAACATCTAAGCTATTGTACATCTCCCAGTGCCCAAACTGTATCAATCAAGATCCCTGTCCAGATTCCAGAACACAAACCAGCATAATCATAGGAAACCTGTCCACCTAAGACCATTAGCGTACCTAATTGTCTTGACCATAACTAAGTGCCTACATAAGAAATAGTTTGATCTAAGATGATATCCCTTGGAGCCAGGCTGACAAAGAGGATTAGGAAATGTTGGTGTCAATCAAAATGTCAAATGGAAATACTACAAAAATTGCATTGTGAAAACAATGTGAAAAATGTGAAAATATACAACGAAATTTATCTAGTGATAAAAGAAGCATAATTACACCCCTTTAGTAACTTATTTGTTTATAATATAGTATACTATGTATTAATATTTGTAGTGTATATATTTAAATTCTAATTTTACATATGGCATTTTCCTAATCCTATTTATTTTTCTTATTCTCCAATGTTGAACATGAAATTTAAATTAAAGATGGTAAAAAAACTATGATTATTTTAGTCATTTATTTGTTACTATGGATATATGTTATGCATACATTTTTATTCTAATAAGTACTTAGTTTACTCCTTAATCTTTATTTTTGTTTAATTGTAACATAAATGCCAAATTTAAATTAAAAATAAGAAACTAACTAATGACCATTTAAATAGCTTAATTGTTAATAACATAATATACTATATGCTAGCATCTGTAATCTTAAATTTTTAATTCATATTTCTCATATAAGTTTTTCCCAAGACTATTTCTTAATTTTTCTTATTATGCATATGTTGAATATGAAATTTAAATTAAAGATGGTAAATAACCATGTTTGTTTTAATCATTTATTTGTTACTAATATAAATATAAGTATATAAATATAATATATGTTGTCTGATCATTCTTGTCATTATTTATATGTTAAATATATTAGATTTAAATAAAAAACTAGTTGCTATTTTAGTATCTTTATTTTTGCGTACTTGTATTTATTGTTCACTAAGATTCAAATTGAGTGTCTTGCTTTATGAGTTTTTGCAAAACCTTTGCAAACTTTGATATATTGTAGTGGGCCTCCATATTGAAAGTGAATGCTGTTCAATAATGATGATTCTATTTCAGTGGTACTTTTGCAAGGGTCTACAAAATTTCTGTAGGCCTCCAATATTGTTTATAAAGATTCCATCTTAATTCTAGGCCTGCTTTCGAACTTTTACTTCATGTTTAAGATTGGTTTATGGTTTATGTTACAAGGTTTTACAAGATTTTCATAGACCTTCATATACTATAGCATGGCCCTTGTAAGTACAAGGATTTTACCGTTGATTATGCCATTTGACGAGTAATGACCTAAGATTGAGAGCAAGAAAAGAAGAGGCAATGAGGAGTTTGGGAGCACCAAACTAAGTACTGAACAGGAAGAAGCAACTGAGCTCTAAAAAAGCCTCCATTTCTTCACAACCTCCTCCCCCTCCTAATCTCCTCCTCTTTTTTTTTTTTTTTT